GACTAATAAGCTATCACCGAATACTAGCATTAAATAGCAGCGCAGTTAAACGCTGCTATATTTCTTATGGTGAGTGTAGAGAACCGAAGATCATTTTTACTGGTAGCGGGGTATTCTATCTTAATCCTCAGTGGTGACAACATATCTGCCTTAATTGAGGACAGTTGTATAAGGACCGCAGCATCAACTTGTGTGCTTGTTTGTCACCATTGTAGTATAAAAAAATCGAAGAACCGAAGATCGAGGAGTAAGGTCTCACATTCGAAACCCTCGAGGTTGGCACTGCAATCATATAGGCAAGGAAGGAGCACGGCTACTACTTACTAGATGTCGTGACGACCTGGTAAGACGTAGCAAGTCGATGGATGCAGATGGTTCAGGTAAATTCAGTGTTTTGCGGCATTTCTTGATGGAAGCCTTTGTACAGCAGTAGATTTGTGAAATAATTATGATGATATTGTCATATGAATAAACTCAAAAAAAATTGAAAAAGAAATACTAACTCTTCTGATTTATGATATTAGATTGTATTCCTAACTTCAACCAGGGGCAGCTTTCTTTAACTTTCTCCTCCCATTTGTTAATTCTTAAGCATACTTTTCCGATGTCATACACAAATCGCTTTTAAGATTTCTTGCAGTCTGGCTCCTAGTTTTTACATATTGAGATATTAGTGAACAAATTGAATAAACGGGCTGTTTTCCGCAACTTAGTGAACAAAGTAGTCTGCCGGTCACCGCAAGAAGTGTCTAAAGCATAGTAGGCGTTAACATACTGCGGTTGCCGACCCGCTTGCCAAGCGTGGCAACTATGGCAATCTATGTGGGAGGCATTTCTTCAGCATTGGACTTTGATACTCGTAGGTTGTAACAGTAACGGTGTGTTGTTGTGAGCGTCTACAGGCCCCCATGTTCTACATATGATACTTTTGAAAACATTATGGAGAAAGTTTTTGCTAAACTTAATAAACAGGATAAATCTGTTGTAATATGTGGAGACTTTGATATCAATCTCATAGAAGCTTCCTCCAGATCATTGTTTAAATCATATGGTCTTTTTAATTTATTTATAGAGCCAACGCGTATTGCTCAATCTAGTGCAAAATGTATAGATAACATTTTTACAAATGTGAAGCCGTTGCATAAATGTATAATTCAAAAATTAAGTTCTGATCACTGTGGACAAGTAGTTTCGTTACCTTATGTTCACAAAAAGCAAGCAGATGAGAAAGTTGTGTTTGTTCCAGTAAATGCCCGTCGCTTGGAGAAATTTAGAAGTAACACAGTGAAAAAACTTCCATTACTTTCATCAAAATGTTCCTAATTTTTTGTATGGAACATTATTTAAGCTTATTTGCAATGAATTTAATAATACTTTTACTTCTAAAACATTCTCCTTGAACAGTCGGGAGTCATTCAATGAATGGGCGACAGTAAGAGTCCATAGGTAGAGCAGGCATAGGTTATATGATTATTACCATGAAAGGTCATATAATCATAGCGTCGAATTTAGGGAATATGTAAAAAAATATTCAAAAATATTTAAACGAGTGTGCTCCACAGCCAAGTCTTTGCATTTGAGCAACAAAATTAAGACGTCTTCTAATAAAATTAAAATGACATGGAGTATAATTAATAGCGAAACTGGTAAGATCAACTCTCGCAATTCAAATTACCAGTTAAGTGTTAACAACAAATTAACTGTATCAGATCAGGACGTAGCAATGGTTTTTGAGAAATATTTCACTGATATTCCGATATTGACCACTAAGTCACTGAATTCTTCTCCTACCGTCGCCGAATCATTACTTAAACAAAATGTAAATGCGTGTACAAAGAATTTTACATTTTTCATAAACTATCATCAAAAGATATTGTAAAATATTTTAAAACTATTGATGTTAAGAAAACTGCGGATCTGTGGCGGATTTCCATTAAAGTTATTGCGTCTATAATAGATACAATCGCGCCTCATTTAGCTATTATTTTTAATACTACTATCGAATCTGGTGGTTTCCTGATTTAATGAAGCATAGTAAAGTAATACCTTTATTTAAATCTGGTAGTACATTAGACCCCGCCAATTTTAGACCTATTTCTGTACTACCAACACTCAGTAAGATTTTTGAAAAAAATACTCTTGATCAAATGTTTAATTTCTTTAATATAAATAACTTACTTCATAAAAATCAATTTCGTTTCACAAGGGGTCGCTCGACAACTGATGCCGGTGTTGAGCTGATTAAATATATCTTTAATGCATAGGATAATTCACAGGATGCTTTGGGTATATTTTGTGACGTATCCAAGGCCTTCGATTGTGTTCACCATGAAACATTAATCAGGAAACTTCAACACTACGGTGTAAGAAGTGATGCTCTTAAATTATTTCATATTTAAGCAAGAGAACGCAAAAACGCTCTACGTGGTAGAGCCATACTGCAGCTATATTATGGTTGTAGCACGAATGGTTCGGCTCGAACGGGGAAGGACCACGCTCTCACAGAAAACCAGCGTAAAATAGCAGCTTAACGCTGCTGTGTTTCGTATGGTGAGTGTAGAGAACCGGAGACCCTTTTTACTGGCAAAGAGGCATTCCATCTTCGTCCTTACGGGTGACAACGCATCTGCATCTTGAGTCTTTATTGGGGATAGATGTAGATGTCTATGGGTCACAGTAACCACTTACCATCAGGTGGACTGTGTGCTCGTTTGTCACCCGATCCTATAAAAAAAAAGTTGTCATTAACAATATGAGCTCTTCCGGGTCGATGGTACAAATGGGCGTGCCTCAAGGCTCAATTCTCGGCCCCTTTCTGTTTCTTGTATACATTAATGACTTACCTTACATAGTAGGGGATAACCATGATATAGTATTATTTGCAGATGACACTTCTTTAATTTTCAAATTAAGTCGACAATTACTAAAATATGACGAAGTAAATAATGCTATATCTAAATTAGTAAATTGGTTCAATGTTAATAATTTGCATTTAAATGGCACTAAAACAAAATGTATGAAATTCATGACTACAAATGTCAAACAATTAAATATCTACTAATGTAATTTTAAATGGGGAGAAACTGAGTCTTGTAGATACCACCATTTTTCTTGGAATCACACTAGACGCGAAGCTTCAATGGAGCCTCCATATATCAAAACTAGCAAGCAGACTTAGTTCTGCAGTATATGCTGTAAAAAAGATTAGAAGTCTAACCAGTGTTGAAACAGCTAGACTAGTTTACTTTAGCTATTTCCATAGCATAATGTCGTATGGTATTTTGCTATGGGGACACGCAGCTGACACTGAAATTATATTTGTTTTATAGAAGAGGGCCATAACAGCAATTTATGCAACGCTGCAACAAAAATTTAAGGAAATTAATATATTAACTTTGGCCTCTCTAGTTTTACAAAAATAACAGATATTCATTCTGTTAATACTAGGAAGAGACACAAGCTAGTAGTAGCAGTTACTAGACTCCATCGAGTCAGTAATTCATTCTTGGGGCGATGTGTACGCTTTTACAACAAAGTTTCAGAAAATATACAAAATTTGACCTGCTTAAAGTTCAAAAACTTTATTAAACTAAGTTTGTATAAATAGGGTTATTATAATATTAAGGAATTTATGGATGATAATAACCCCTGGAAATGAGGTGATCGCTACCAAGCTATTTCTAATTTGTTGTGTTGTTAATTTGTGTAACATACATGATTGTAAGCTGTTATTAAAAAAAAAAGTCCCACTGGGTTTCTTGCTGGTTCTTCCCAGTGCAGAGGTTTTTTTCCGAACCAGTGGTAATCAAACAAGAGTGACTTTCAATAAGTATTATTTATAATATATATTGAATAAAAAAGTTTCTGTTTCTGTTACGATTACCTATTTAACGCTATCGGAAAATACTTTTTTAATTGCCTTGTTAACAACACCTAAAAATGATAGATTTTATTATGCAGCTACTAATGAGCACTGAAAATTTTCTTTGTACTAATTCTATTGTTACACTTGCTGTGGATTGTGACACTGTGAACACTGCAAGCAAAATGGATTATCAAACTGAAATGACTAAAATAGTTTTTTTTTATCTTTAATGAATCATGCTTATCATTGACATGACAAAATTGAAAATCACAGGGGAATAAGAAATGTAGATATATATATATATATATATATATATATATATATATATATATATATATATATATATATATATCTACATACATACATATATATATATATAGATATATATATATATATTACTAACATAAATCACAAATAATATGTTCCTATTTTTTAAACAAAAACAGAAAAATCATAAAACAACAAGATTTAGAAATCTATAAAATTAATAATATAGTAACACAATGCTGGTTCAATATATTTTGAAAAATATATATATATTAATACTGCATGTAACAAAAACAGGTCCTACATACTACAAGTACCTACTTAGTTTTTATTTTAAATATACAACTAATAAACAGACAGAGTTGTACTCTTAACCAAAGTAAAAATTTTACAATGTAATTCAAAATTAACTAAATCTAATGTTTGTACGCACTTTGAGTATAGAATACATTTTCATGACAGTAGTATCATTATCTAAATATTCTGTGAAGCAAATTGGGCAAGAATATTACAAGTAATATCACATAATTTATATAAACATTTCATAGAATGACCACAATTTGTATTTTAATTAAAAGTTATGGTGAACCAGTTTGTTAAAATCATTTTAGATCTGAAAATAAAACAAACAAAATTATAAATTGAAAGGACTGAGTCTTTATTATTAATTTAATTTCATTGGCACATAAAACGTGAAATACAAATATTTCAAAAAACATTCTAAATACAATTATTTATAAAAATGTTACTTTAATCACAAAGTTTGTTGATAATCATGTAATTTAATTCAATATGAATATTTGCAATGACTTGTAATTCATGAATCTGATTTATAATAAAATATTAAGCATTTAAGCTTATAGCTAACCTAACAGTCTTTGGCTAACATAAGCTTAGCCTCACCCTCAAACACAACCTTCTTTTCCTCTTCAACAATACAATAAAACTTAACTTTCAAAATCTTTCTCACATCAACTAACTCAACACTTATAGTTAATTTTTCACCAACAAAACATTTATTGGGAAACTTCATCGTCTGTGACACCAGAATTGTACCAGGACCAGGTAAATGTGTTCCTATGAGCCCTGCAACTAAACCATTCAACAATGCACCATGAACAATTGGCCTCTTGTTACCATTATTCTTGTGAATATAGTTGTGATCGCTTGTAAGATTTGAAAAAGTATCCAAGTCCTTCTGAGTAAGTGTTTTCTGAATTCGAATCTTATCTCCAGCTTTGAATGATACACTACTAAATGTTGATGTATGCAGTTTGCATATTTTTTGATAATTTTTATTACTTATTGCTATGTATGGAAATCTATTGGATAACATCCTGCTTCTTTTTTTTAGCTTAAATCAATACTCAATTTATTTGTGTACACCTTACATTTTGTACTAATATTTATGTTTTACTACTGATATCCTCCAAAAATATTGTTGCTAAATTAGCAATTATTTGACTTTCACTTCTTTTTAGTTCCTCTATTTGTTGAACTACTTCTAAATTAAATAATTCAGGCTTGTTAAGGATATTTAATATCTGAAAAACTATAGTCAATGTTGATGCAACTAAATCAACATTTTCACACTTCAAAAATTTGGGTAAGAAATTCAAAATGCCATAGTGCAGAATATATTCAGTGTTCACTGGATCTGAAACATATTAATAGAATAATTTAATATGTGTATTACACGAACATTATTATAATGTTATTAACATGAATGAATGAATATACTTTATTGTACACCACAAACAAATAAACAAACTACATAACAAAAGACAGGTTAAATGTACAATTTGGTGGCCTTATCACTACATAGCGATCTCTTCCAGGCAACCAAGGGTGTAAAGGAATAAACAATGAATACTAGGTAGGTGGTGCAATATAATTATACAAAATATAATATCAGTACATGCGATATATAGACAATAAATGCAATAAAATAACATATAAATAACTAACACATGAAATGATATAAATTACTAATACATAATAAAAGATAAAGTAAAGCATATAATATATACATAAACATACATATATAAGAGTATATAAACAAACTTACATATCTACCCAAAATACATAAATAAATTACAAATTTCCTCAAACAATAATATAAAGCTGATAAATACAATAAATACATAATCACATAATTATCCTAACGGTCTCCAAACGATTGAGACAAGTAATGTTCTTTAAGTAATCGCTTAAAGATTACAATAGATTGTGCTTCGCGTATATGCAAAGGTAGGGCATTCCAGAGCTTAATAGATTCGACAGTGAAAGATTTATTAAAAAACGATGTTTTGTGAGTTGGTACCCTTAAAACGAATTTTCTAGAAGAGCGTAGAGGTTCCCCCGGAAGCCCCACAAAATTAAACTTCTCTTTTAGATAGGGAGGAGCAGAAGGATGACATGACACAGTACAAAATAGAAAGAATATGCATGTACCGGTGAAGTTGGATAGGTAACCACTTGAGACGTGAGTGAAATTGGGAAATATGGTCATATTTGTGCAATCCAAATATGAACCGAATACTAGTATTTTGAAGTCTCTCAAGCTAACATGTTCAATGAACAAGAATTATTTTAGCTTAACTTATTTTTTCTGACAGAGACTTGGCAACATTGTGTATAATGCCAAAAAATACTTAGGCAGGTGATGCAAAGAAGCAACATAGGGCTTAGCTTTCCATTGACTCCCATCGAGTTGGGGGTTGATACATATTTTTACAGAAAAGTTACACTATTATAAGCACACACACAAAGTTACAATATGCGGAAGCGCGTAATTTTTGAGAAAAAAGTTATTGAAAATCAATTATTCTTGCATTGTTTATATCTAATTCTACCATAAAATAGACGCCATTTTGTAATGTCATTGTCGTCAGTAGGGATGTCGATTCTTTCCGAAAAAGGTCGATTTTTAAATCGATTCAAATCGTAAGCTGATGTATCAATTCATAAAAAAATCGATTTCTAAAATATCTATTTTTTTATGTTTGCATTTATAATGTAAATATAATTCCATTTTATGAAAAACAAGAAAGATACTATAATAAATGATCTCTTATTGAAATTTGTTTTATTTTAACAGTACCAATTAGGGCAGATAACAAATAAAATAGGTTAGGTTCAACTTATGTCAAAGAACCGAATTGATTGACCCCGACTCCACCTGGTACGAGTCTGTCCTACCCCTAGAGTGGTTTTAAAGAGCCGGAGGCGCGTAGGGGGAGCAGCCTCCGCCGCTTCGGCTCGTCCGATGCCTACGATTTGTTACGCTAAGGCGTAGAGGCTGCTCTTCCCGCAGCGCCGGAGACATAGCAGTCTCAAAATAGATACAGAAATCCTTCTGAATCAGTCCCCGTATATTTTATGATGAAGGGGATTTTTTTCTCATAAAATGGATTTATATTTACATTATAAATGCAAAGATGAAAAAAATATAGATATTTTAGAAATCGATTTTTTGGGAAACGATTTTTTTTTTATAGGATAAGGGTGAAAAACGAACACACAGTCCACCTGATGGTACGTGGTTGCTGCGGCCCATAGACATCTACATCTATCCTCTATTACAAATCAAAATGCAGATGCGTTTTCACCCGTGAGGATTAGGATGGAATGCCTCATTTCCAGTAAAAAGGGCCTCCGGCCACCTGCACTCACCAAGCGAAACGCAGAGGTAAACCTCTACTTCACGCTGGTATTCTGTGAGGTTGTGGTACCACCCCGGTTCAAGCCGGCCCATCCGTGCGACAGCAAAAGCTGCCGCCTGGCTCTACCACTGTTAAAAATACATACATCAGCTTACAATTCGAATCTATTTAAAAAATCGATCTTTTTCGGAAAGAATCGACATCCCTACTGACAATAACAATAAAAAAATCGCATCAGTTTTATTGTAGGATTAGACATAAACAATGCAAGAATAATTGATTTTCAATAACTTATTTCTCAAAAATTACACGCTTCCACATATTGTAACTTTGTGTGTGCTTATAATAGTGTAACTTTTCTGTAAAAATACATATCAACCCCCAACTCGATGGGAGTCAATGGAAAGTCGTACCCAACAAAGTTGTAAGATGTTTGATACCATCAGTCCATCACCAATACTTTGTCAAATGTGAGATTATTATAATTCTTTCCAATAGTCCGATAGGCACGTAAACAAACATATCTAGCAGTAGATTAATTTTAACTTTGCAGAAATCCACTAACCTTTGAAACAAAATACATAAATTTATAAAATACGAAATATGTACATAAACTGTTATCCACATACAAATATAAAAGAGCAGTGTCTATCAAAGTATTTACCTAGGCAAAGATTGCAGATTCCTGCACATGCAAAATTAAGTAATTTGCTGTCAGATTCATTCTTCAGTACATACAGAAATATATCTAAGGCTCCTACATCTCGTAAGAAGCAGTAATTTATGGGATCATAAGCAAAATTCGCTAAATTAGCTAATACTTGGCACTTTGCATCTGAAATTTAAAACAAATGATTTAGAACATACTAAACAACAACAAAATATTAAACCTGGTAAGACATGCAGTTTTATGGCATACCTTTTGAGGCTTATGATAAGCGTTATATTTGCGATGGGCAATAATGATTATGGTGATGATGATGATGATGATGATAATGATAAACTTAATAAAATTTACTAACTGGTACCAAGTTATAAGCAGGGCTGTGAAAGGAATAAAAACGTATGTATTACTTACCAAATGAAACTGAATTTAAGTATTCATCTACTAAGAGTGATAAATAGTTTTCTCGATCTGTACCATTTTCAGGAGTACGTTTTTGAAGTTGAGCCTTTGTACTAAACATCGATTAATTTCAAAAATCCTAGAGCAAATAACACAGAGTACCATAATAAATAAGTATATAATACTCAAAATCTTGCAAATTTTGTGTTCCTACTTTCCAAATCCATATTATTTCAGTTAATCTTATCTAAATTAACAATTTCCAATTGCCATTTAATTTTGTTTCTACGATTCGCCATCCGCCATTTTAATTTTAAAATGTACTTTTTTCTTTTTTTTGTATTTGAACTTGTGACAATAGTATTTTTGCCAGTGTAATAGGAAGAAAAAATCACGTATTAATACTAGGTACTTTGTAATACTGGATTGCGTACTTCAATGTATCATTATTACAAAATTACAGTCCAACTGAGTTGTTAAGTTTTTAAGTAGATATATTGAGGTTGTTTTTGTTTGATATAATTTACTCTCAGGATTTTACTTTCTTTATTAGAAAAATATATATAAATTTTGTAAAAATGTCGAAAAAACCACTTTTATCACAAGCAAAAACATTATTTACAAAATGTGTCATCAGTAAAGAAGATGAAGATCAACCACAATCTTTGATTTTATGTTATGTGCAAACGTTTGCTGGTTAGCAGAACTGTAGTTTAAATACTTTATTTTTATAAGTATATTTATAAATTATGCCTTATTTAAAATACTACTACTTAGACGACCAATTATTGTGGAAGCCTGATTTAATGGAGGTGTATTTTGTAAGCCCGGTAAGGTGGTAAGAAAAAATCGAGTGGGAAAATTTTGGTTTAAAAATTATAAGACATTTGATGAAATTTAATATTATACAGAAAGAAATTCCAATAGTAATGAAATTGTTAAAAATGATTCCTTCCGTGTTGCTGTCGCATGACGTTAATGCGCGATCAAAAACGGCTATATTTTCGTAGCGTAGCGCTACCGGTCACATCGGAGAGCTTGAATAAAAGTTTAAAAAGTACTAGGTACGTCTTTGACTGCGAATCAAAGCATTTTTACGCTGGTATTAGTAATACTAGCGTAACAATGTAGTATCATTGAGTATTTATACGTAATAATATATAGAGCGCCCGTATCGCTCGTTGTCTATTATGCCAAGCGCAGATGTCCTAGAGATACTGATACATAGATAAAGCGGTTGAATAGTGATGCGCCACGATTGACACCTATGTTGTGTTAATTTCATTTAGTTTATAATTTTAATTTATACTGTGTCGTCTCAACCCCGCATCTTCCGCTACACCCTTTGAGTTAAGTAAATATTAATTAACGATGAAAAGGAATATCATTGTTCTTCTTTGTTTGCTTCCGGGAATCGGTTTTACAGCTTGCCACGGTACATTTCACTATGGTAACTTAAAATTCAAATAAATACCGTCAAGAGAAACAATTAACGCGCGTGACCTTTCGTGACTAATAACTTCGCCCTTGCCATTTTGAGACTGTTCATACCAGTGCTTACTATTAATTCTCGTTAACACGAGCTCTATAGCTTTGCTTATAAATACTCGTATGTGTATTACTCTAATGTCCGTTCACATTATTCCAGTAGCATTCCAGTCCAAAGATCGATTCCAGTGCTGGATTGCCACTGGAATAATGTGAACAGGCACTGGAATGCACTGGAATGAATCCATTCCCGTGACTGCACTGCCAGTATGCTTTTTCATTCCAGCTCGCTCATTCCAGCGACACTGGAATAGTGTAGACGGCCAATCCAGTGCTGGATTGAACATTGAACAGTGAACACACATTGTGGTTTTTTTCGGAACGCATTATTTTAGTTCTATAAATTCCTAACAATGAAATTGACTACGCTACGTTGAATGTTATTTGTTATTGAGGAATTATTATCATACCACAATCAAATTTATTATTATCTTAATATTTATTTTTATATATATTATTTTACGTGGTAGAGCCATGCTGCAGCTACATAACTGGTGTAGTTGTAGCACGAACGAGTCGGCTAGACCGGGGAAGGTCCACGCTCTCACTTAAGACTAGCGTAAAATAGCAGCTTAACGCTGCTGTGTTTCGTATGGTGAGTGTAGAGAACCGGAGACCCTTTTTACTGGAAAAGAGCATTCCAACTTAATCCTCACGGGTGACAACGCATCTGCATTTTGATTCGCAAACGAGGATAAATGTAGATATCTATGGGCCACAGCAACCACTTACCATCAGGTGGACTGTGTGCTCGTTTGTCACCCTTATCCTATAAAAAATATTAATAATACTAATTATAAAAAAAACTTTAAATCTTTTATAATTGTTATTTCATTATTCACTTTACTCATTCACTTAGTAGGTCTGATACGTATCTATTTTAGTCGAAGTGCGATATCTTGAGATAAATAAATCTGAATGTTGAATAAGCAATCTCATGTGTGTCCTGTTGATTAAGCAATCACCGCCTCACACCTGTCGCCACCTAAGGCGCGGCCAACTAGTTGCGCGCGGACTATAGTAGTATAGTTGTAGCACAAATGGGTCGGTTCGACCGGGGAAGGACCACGCTCTCACAGAATACCAGCGTAAAATGGCAGCTTGATACTGCTGTGTTTCGTATGGTGAGTGTAGAGAACCGGAGACCCATTTTACTGGAAAAGGGGCATTCCATCTTAGTCTTCACGGGTGACGACGCATCTGATTTTGATTAATGATTTCTTATATTTACGCGAACACTACACATTTAAATAAAACTCATTTTACGGATTTTATCGGGTATATTAACTTATTTTATATTCACGACGTTTCGAGCACTTTACAGCACCCATGGTCACGGGGGGGGACATATTGGGGGGACTGAGGTCTATGACGTCCCAATATCATAGTTAACCACGGCTACCCACAGATTAAAAATTAGTAAATTTTGTTCCGATCTACGCAGTAGGAACTTACAGTATCATGAAGTCTTGCAATTGTATGTTTGGGTTAGGATTTAATTTTATTAATTATGGGATCCCGAGCAGATGGCACCCATCCACCTTCTCTATTGAAATTAGGATGTTTTTTGATTTCAATAGTCTCGCGAATCATCCTTGGAAGGAATCGGTGTTCTTTAGCGAGGATTTGTGGTCTATCAAATCTAATGTAGTGACGGGGGCGATCCTGTACGTGTTCACAGACTGCAGACTTCCCGGAGCGTCGATTCTTCACATCAGCTATGTGTTCTTTAACATGGGTTTTTATGGATCTTTTAGTTTGACCCGTCCCATTTATTTAAATGCATTTTGATTGTTTATTGAGGATAAATGTAGATGTCTATGGGTCACAGCAACCACTTACCATCAGGTGGACTGTGTGCTCGTTTGTCACCTTATCCTATAAAAAAAGTATTTACTTAGTCGTCTGTGCAAGCCATGTCGAATAATGTCGAATGGGAGTTTTGACGGGAACTTGACCGGTAGCGGCTTGCTGCTCCTGTATTATTCTTTAAATAATGGTTTGAAGTGGATTTTGATATATAAAAGAGGTGGGATTTTGTGAAAACTGGCTTTAAGGACTGTATTCTCTTTGATTAGTGATTAGTGCAGGTGATTAGTACAGGTGCTTATGATTAGGACTAAACACGTGTGGATATCGATTGATTAGTGCAAGTGATTAGTAAACTGTGTAGTAAAGTGATTAGAAGCGTATTCTATTTTTTGCGAGTGGACTGTGGGTATCCACGCCCCGCATACCCTCCCTTCCCCTCTCATAAGCAAAATGCCTGCCACTAAATACGTTTGGACAACAGTGTTAAGTGTTTAGCGTTTAGCATCGGACGCTCGCTTGAATTTGTGCAGGAGTACTAAAACATGAATGTCTTTACAATAGTAAACACACTAACTGCAAAATTAAAGGTTCCTGAGATGCGGCATTTCTAGTTATAAGTGAAGCTATGAACATACCGGGGTTTGAAAGTGAAGAAGTTTATATTAAAATAAGAAACTTGAAGTCTACATATTCGCATCTATACTTGCTGGTCAACGGCTAACAACTGAATTTACTAAACACACCCACTAAACAGAAATGGACACTTCTCACACTACACACCTGCACTAATTACCCGCAATTACTAATCACCTGAACTCGCACTAATCAAAGTGAAAACAGGACTTTATTGTGAAGCGGTGTACTATAGCTTGCTACATTTCTATTTATCTATGGTGTACTATGAAATTGGAACTTCAGACTTCAGAACCCCACTATATATAATGTACTCAGTGGCTAGAACTACGGATGTGACATTGAGTGAAAAAAATCGATTAATAAAAAATCGATTTTTTGCTTTGTGATAATAATCGATTTATGAAAAATCGATTTTTTTATAAAAAAAATAGTCGATTTTTGCGAAAAAAATTTTATTTGTAAAATAATCTTCTGGTTTTAGAAATGAACTACAGAACGATTTTTCAACATATAACTTAGAAGAATAAAAAACTAAAAATAATTACTGGCACAAATGTTCACTGCCATTTAACAATTTATTACAACCAAAATAAACAGAAACAATAAATTAAACTAAGTTTTACGGATTTTATCGCGTTTAATTTAACTTTTTAATTCCCGACATTTTAGGTGCTTTACAGCACGCATGGTCACAGAGGGGACTGAGGTGTTTGACGTCCCTATGTCATAGTTGAACCACAAATCCTCGCAAAAGAACACCGATTCCTACCAAGGATGATTCGCTAGGCTATCGAAATTAAAAAAAAAACATCCTAATTTCAATAGAGAAGAATGATGGGTGCTGCCGTCTGCTTGGCATCCTATAATTAATAAAATTAATTCCAAAGCCAAGCATACCACTGTAAGACTTTAAGATACTGTAAGCTCATTCTGCGTAGATCGGACCAAAAATTAATATTTAAAAACTGAATTTAGCCAGGCTAACTATGACATCTGGACGTCAAAGACCTCAGTTCCCCCCGTGACCATGGGTGCTGTGAAGCACCCGAAACGTCAGGAATTAAAAAGTTAAATTAAGCGTGATCAAATCCGTAAAAATTAATTTCATTTAATGTGTAGTCTTCGCGTAAATATAAGAAATCATTAAGAAACCATAATTTTAGTAAACGATAGTTTTTTTAAACTAAGTTTGAATAAACAAAAAGTCTAAATATCATTATGCCACTAATGTTCAGTATCATTTACATTGGATTAGAATGAAAATAAAATAAGAATATAATTATAAATAATCCGACGACAACCTTTTGATCTCAAAACTAAAATAAAAGACAAATCTTTTTTTACACTAGTGTAAACAAAAAAAGTAAAAAAAAATATTGTCATGATTTTCAGTTAAAGACTTTAAAAACAATCATTTCACCAAAATTCTTCTTCGTCTCTTTCCCAAAATACGGTTTCGTTTTTTCCTGACAATATTTCCCGCTTTCAAAAATAATCTTTCGGCTGGCGCGGAACTGGCCATCACTGAGAGGTGTTTAAAAGCCAATTCGGTTAGTTTAGGGAAAGTTCCTTCAGAGCTTTTCCATATATTGAGGGCATCTGCCTTGAGATGTGATAGTGGTGCCGCAATATATAGATCCAATTCAGTATTTTTGCCTATTGACGTGTTTGCCGCTATCATTTTTTCATTATAAAATACTTCTGTCAGTCACTTTTACGCGTTTCACAAGACATTTTTATTGTTTATATATAATTGTTTACACTAACCAAAGAAAGAAAGAAAACCACAGAATACTTTTACTCCTAGCGGAGGAAGAAACTTGTTGAAAACATATGAAAAGCGAAACTGTTTTACATACGTAGAGATACATAAAGGTGGCGCCGTCTTTTCATTGACTTATTCATGTTATTGAACTTCCTTCACGTTTTTACATCCATCGCACAGATGACTCTGATTACAAAAATCGATTGAACCGCGTAATTTACATAAAAATCGATTTATTAAAAATCGATTTTTATTATAAAATAAAATCGAATTCGAAAAATCGATTATAACATAATAATAATCGATTAATATGAAAATCGATTACTTTTTCACATCCCTAGCTAGAACCCAGAGCCGTAAAGTCATAAGTCAGTTATAAAAAAAAACAATGTCGGATAAGAAACATATGGCTTCGCTTCAAATCTTGTGTTAAATTTAATAAAATTTAAACATTTTCTTTAGTTAATTAACATATAAAACTTTTTTACAATGAGTGTGACACCATACATTGCTGGTAGTGTTGCCAAATAACATTTCCAATTAAATTTATTTAATTTGAGAATAAGGTTAAAATATTGTTTTGTTTTCAGGCGTAACAAACAAAAGCCTTTTTTTAATTGAATTTCAAGAACCATACACAGAAAAAATCTTAAGAGATGAAAGCACACCAAATATTCGAAGCCTAGTCTATAGTCCTAAAGGCAACTATCTTGCTTACAGGACTGACAAAAAGTATGTAAAAATGGAAAAAATGTATAAAACCTGAGAGAATAACTTGAAGAGTGGCGAAACCGCATTGTTATTAGGGGAATATTTATTTTATATAGTATAAGGGTGACATACGAGCACACAATCCACCTGATGGTAAGTGGTTGCTGTGGCCCATAGACATCTACATCTATCCTCGTTTGCGAATCAAAATGCAGATGCGTTGTCAGCCGTATGCCTCTTTTCCAGTAAAAAGGGTCTCCGTTTCTCTACATTCACCATACGAGAGACAGCAGTTTGAAACTGCTATTTTACGCTGGTATTCTGTGAGAGTGTGGTCCTTCCTCGATCGAGCTGGCACATTCGTGCTACAACTATACCCCTGCTATGGGTAGCAAATTAATATAGCTGCAGCATGGCTCAACCGCATAATATAACATTCTTCATGAAAAACTGCTGGGAATTTGTAGTATTTTGCTGTGTGAATTGGAGGGGAAAGAAGGTGTAGGACAAGGGTGTAGAAGGCACCCCCCCTGGTTGGACTTATTACACCTAAATTATGTTTAGTCAGCAACTTAATATTGTACTGCTCTGGCTTTGTAGAAGTACAGCCCCCTGATTATTGGTAACAATAGCAGATATCTTGGAAATCCAAAGGCTGTAAATATTGTTATAATTGAGAGAAATATCAATGATATATAATAATAATAATGTTTAAAAAAAACATTATTATTATCTACACTGACAGAAATTAACAAAATATTCATACTTATTTATTTTGAACAGGATCTCATCTAATATATAAAAATGAATGTATTTTTGTTCATATTTTATGTGCTACCATACTGCTCATCATTTTACGGTAAAACTTTTTCGACATTGCATGCACTTCTGTGAAGGTTATAGGCATAATACAATGAACTTACAGTAGTAGGTGGAGCATGTATTGTACGGACAAATTTATTTTAAAGTTAAGTTATACATCATTCAACTTCAATGAATGTATTATCATTCCTAATTAAACAACATAACTCTTCAAAATTTAAAATGATATTTCCATAATTATTTCTTTAGTGGCTGCAATGCTATAGGTACCAGCTAATCTTTTCGTCATTAATTTATATATTGCTTGACACAGTAAAATAAAATGGAATATTTATATTTGGTTAGCTTGTATTTGACTATTTGCCTAATTGATATTAAACACTTACCCTCATTCAGGCAAAGTGTGGTAGTCATTTTTGTTTAGATTTTTTGACATATATTTGTAATTAAAAAAATATTATAGTGAGTTAGGTTTTAACAGTGGTAGAGTCACACGGCAGATTTTGCTGTCGCACGGATGGGCCGGCTCAAACCGGGGTCGTACCACGACCTCACAGAATACCAGCGTGAAGTAGAAGTTTACCTCTGCGTTTGGCTTGGTGAGTGCAGGTGGCCGGAGGCCCTTTTTACTGGAAATGAGGCATTCCATCTTAGTCCTCACGGGTGACAACGCATTTGCATTATGATTTGCAAACGAGGATAGTTGTAGATGTCTATGGGCCGCATCAACCACTTACCATCAGGTGGACTGTGTGCTTGATTGTCACCCTTATCCTATAAAAAAAAGGTACTATATTATATTTAGGTCATATGGTTACGTCCGAGCTCAAGGATAATACTGACATGGAAAGGGAACGTAGGGCTCTGTTTACGATAACTTTATGATTACTCGCAGGTTTGCGCGATGTTCAAGGGATTTTAAACTCACTCTATTTAGAGCATTTTGCATCATCATCATCTCATCATCTCTCTACACGTGCAGCCTATGGAGGGACTACACGCAATGGGCCTAGGGAGCTTTTCGGATCCAATATAACAATGCATTCCAGGTGCTGATGGAGCTGTCCTGTCGCTGCAGCGCATCAGCGATGTTTGCTCAAGCTCATGTAGATTGTTTTTACGCAACTATGCGTAAAAGAGCTGCATCTCTGGTGCGCAGGGTTAAGGTCAGCCCCAACGGTATTATAAAAATGATAAGTGACAGAGTGTACTGTCCCTATCTGCAACACTGTTGTAGGATGCATTTGCTCAGCAACTAATTATAAATATATAATAATAATAATAATTTTAATGCATGTATCCAATGTTAATATAATAATAGAGTATTTATTAAAATTTTATAATAATCATAATTCTGAAAAAGTTTATGTAATAATGAGTCCTAGATACTTGAAAAAATATAAAATAATGTCATATAATCCCATGAAACTTGAAAATTTTTAGCAAATTGCCATAAGTATGTTTAAACATACTTATGGCAATTTAATGTAACCTGCTAAAATCTAAAAAGTTATAAATTTTATCCAAAACAAAACAATTTCAAAAATGAACTTAAAAATAACTTGAAATGTATGCGATAAGGTTAGCCTATTAAAACAAGATTACCTCAAAAAAGTTTAACTCTTCAAATTGGTTGTAGGTTATGTAAGGTGATAAAAAAATTATAATTCTTACATTCATAAAAAAATTTAAAGCCCATACAAGATGCTTTTATGACTGGCAAAGAACTTAGATATCAAGTTTTTTATAAATTTAATAATTCCAGAGCTGAGATTATCCAATGTGCTGACTGGTCAGTGGCTGCCACAATAAATGGCAACTTCAAAGATATGTTCTTTTCTCCTTTGGATAATTATTTTGCAGTTTGGGAAATGTTTATGATGACCAAAGAAAATCCTCAGGTTTGCCATCATTTTACTTTGTAGCTTTAGTCATTTATAATTTACCTTTTGTATTTAGCCATGCCTGGGCATACATGTCTGTTCTATAAATATGTGATAACAAGATTTCAAAGTTGTTGCTGTGATGTCACAACCAGGAGTGGCAGATGTCACAACCATGTGTGTTTCAACCTTTCCACAGAGTCAGTAATTCATTCTTGGGGCAATGTATACGCTATTACAACAAGGTCCCGGAAAATGTACAGGCTCTCTCTATTAGCAAATTTAAATGTTTTGTTAAGTTGAAACTGTATAAAAAGGGTTATTATAGTATAAATGAATACATGGTTGACAATAACCCCTGGGAATGAGGTGATCGCTTCCAAGCTGTTTCTAAAATAAATTTTGTACTTATATGTGTTTCTCTTTGTTGTAAAAAAAGTCCCGCTGGGGTTCTTGCTGGTTCTTCCCAGGACAGAGGTTTTTTTTCAAACCAGTGGTAAAATAAAAAATGACTTTCAATAAGAATTACACATGTGATCTATATTGAATAAAAAAATTATTCTATTCTATTCTATTCTTTGTGATATTAGCTAACATTATATTCAAGTTTGAGTAATACCAGGAATCATGTTTTCTAGAATCTTATTTACTTCCATTGCATAATTTTTTGTTTTATTATTACAGGGTAAACCTAACTTGCATGTCTTCAGATCAGCTAATGGTGACAAAGTAGGATCTTTTATACAAAAACATCAAGCTGGATGGTTAGTAACTATAGTTAAATTTGTGAATTCAGATCTCTACAGTTAGAGTTATCACAATAATTTTGTTTATAGGGAGCCAAACTGGTCTTCTGATGAGAAATTGTTTGCCATTCAGATCGGTGATAGAGTTTTGATTTACGAAGATGGCAACCTCGAGAGATACACACAACAAATACATGCAGAAAAGCTTAAGTGTTTCAGCATATCACCAAGTCCAGCACCTACTTATTACTTATCCATTTTTACTTTGGGTTAGTAGAAGTATAATGTTTACATCATTTAGCATCATTGAATATGTAACTAAACTAGTTTAGACAACATTCTATTTGTTACCTTGAGCTTATATATTGCTTAGTCCAGTAAAAAATTAAACAGTCAATAAAAGTTTAAACCAGTGGTTGGACCACTGGTGGTCCCTGAATGCAACCAAAGTAGTCAACAAAAAAAAAGTTAAAGTTATAGCCTATATACGTCCCACTGCTGGGCACAGGCCTCTCCTCATTTCTGAGAGGGTTTTAAGGCAAGGAAGTGTCCGCCTTGCTGCCCCAATGCGTGTTGGTGAGCTTCACATGTCTTCGAAATGTTTTTTTTTTCTTATTTCTCAGACAGCTTACCGTTAAATTTATAGTGAGCGCTAACCATCTGAGCTACCACGGCTCTGTAGTATCCGCAAAGTCATCATACAATCCTCTCAAATATATAAAACGCTTTAAAACATTTTCGGAGATGATGGTCAGTTTGCGGATACTACAGATAAAGTATACAATACAAGATTATTATTACATAGGTAAGATTACAATAGACATTTGTTTTGGTGTGTTTTATTTATAGATTAACATTAAAAACCAACCTTACTATAATTTATATTGTATCTAAAAGTTGGTGGTCCATGGTAAGCCAAAAATTAGTTGAATGGTCTCTCATCACTAAAAGGTTAAGAACTACTACTACGGTGAAATAAATTCCACACAATAGCTTCTGAAGTTGGGAAACATAGTAGTAGTCACAGTATAAATAATTAAAGCCCCCATTTTAGAAGCTGTACTTTTACTTCTGTTTTTACTTTTTATCAAGTTTAATATTTATTAAAAATAATTTTGTATGCTTTGCAGGCAAGGCTGGCCAGCCATCATTTTGGCGCATTTTTAAATATCCTTATTTTGAAATCAACCAGGCTGTGGTGAGTCGATCCTCCTTTCAAGCTGACAAAGCAACATTTTATTGGAACCGACGGGGAACAAATGTCTTTACTATGACACAAACTGATGTAAGTCTATACATTAAATTCTTATTTTGTAATCCTAGTAGTACACTAGTGTTACACAATTTTTAATGAACACACATCAGCTGTTAACTAACTTCACAATATTATGTAGCCATCAAAAAGTTTAATTGGTAAGATTATGTCACTGTTAATCTATAGCGGGTTAAAAAGCAATAATATTTATATTAGTGGATAACTTAACGTCGACCTTAAAATAATTTATGAATATTCCCTTTAATGTATTTAACTATACTTTAATTAATTTGAAACTATTGATAACTTGAAAAAATAAACATTACAATACATAAATACATCATATAAACTTTCACACCTATCACCCAGAGGGGTAGGCATAGTTTCTTTTTATTGAATAAGGGTGACAAGCGAACACACAGTCCACCTGATGGTAAGTGGTTGCTGTGGCCCATAGACATCTACATCTATACTCGTTTGCGAATCCAAATGCAGATGCGCTGTCAGCCATGAGGACTAAGATGGAATGCCTGTTTTCCAGTAAAAAGGGTCTCCGGTTCTCTACACTCACCATATGAAACAAAACGGCATTAAGCTGCTATTTTAAGTTGGTATTCTGTGAGAGCGTGGTCCTTCCCAGGCCGAGCCGACGCATTCATACTACAACTATACAATTAATATAGATGCAACATGGCTCTACCACGAACATTTTTATTTAGGCCTCCCCATAGATTGACTTGGCAAACAGCTTGGCTCCACAGTTTTTTATTTTTATTCAGCTGTTATCAAGAAGATGCTGCTGGCAATAACCAGGTTCAACTAACTAACTAGTGGATATTTTTACTAGTTTTCTTCTTTAGAAAGATAAATAGCTTGTTTATTTTGTTGTATTTTTTAAAACGAAGTTTTATCAAATTCTGTTCTTATCGGACAGTACGAATTTGGCGGATGGGGGCTAGGCGAGAATAAGTGTAAGATTTTTCCGTCACGACTCCTTCTGACGTAGTGTAGATAGCCTTGGCGGCTATAAGGAAGCGAGATGGAATAATATCCATCTCCCTGGCACTTTTCCTTATCTTGACATGAAAAAAATATTATTTTATTTTTCATTTATTTGTATTTGTTAATCAATATAATACATTTATTAATAATAATATACTACAAAAGGAACTTTGTTCTAACGGAGTGTTCCGCGATACTCATGCATGTTTTTTTTTGTTTGCACACCATATTTAATTACAATGAAGTGAAGGTAGTGCCTGAGTTTTTTTTAATGGAATTCGTTGAAGATATCTGCAGTAGAACCAGATTAACTGACACACACCAACGGGTCTATAAACTGAAGTGGCAATGAGCTCACCATGTAGCTTGTACTAACAACGGATGGGGAAGAAAGGTTTCTGAAGTATATACTGTGTATTGTGGCTCAGGACCATGTTTTGTAGCATTCTTTGGAGAGGTCTTTGTTCATCAGTGGACTTGTGAAAAGCAATAATGACTGTGGTGATGATGATGATAAGTTAAAATTTTTGACTGCTATCTAAAATGGCTTCAGTGTTTTTTGACATTAGCTATATAATATATAAATATATTAAATTATTATTTATATATATATATATAAAAATGTTACATTATAGTATTTGCTTTGACAGACCATTTTCTGTATGAATTTTATTCTTATACTTTAGGTCGATAAAACTGGGGGTTCTTACTATGGAAAACAAACACTGTCCCATGGAGATGTAAGAGGCAATGCTGGAAACGTTACTTTTAGTAAGTCAAAATACATTATATTAATTTAAATAATTTTTATAAACGGACACCATTCATGAAAATGTATTATTAAATATAAAACTGATGTGAAGTTAAATTTTTCAGGTAAAGAAGGTCCTATACATGCTATTGCATGGAACCCCGGCAACTGGAATGAATGGGTCGCAGTGTACGGACATGCTCCAGCTAAAGGAACGCTATTTAACGCAAAATGCGAACCACTATTCGAGTTTGGCACCGGAGCTTGGAACGCCATTTATTTTCCACCCGAGGGAAACAATATCCTTTTATGAATTACACTATATATAAATGCGTCAGCTTGTAGTTGTAATTACCCGTCGAGAATAGAATTTAAGTCTCTTCTAGGTTACGATCATTTATCATCGTTTGGTAGGCAGATTAGCGAAAGCAGTATCAGGCGGGTAGTGTACATAACTAAAAAAAATAATGTGCATAATAGTAACAACCTAAAAACATTCCACACTGATCTCTCATCTTTGAAAGGGTTTTAGAAAAGGAGAGGATCCGACGCGCTATCCTATTGCATGTTGGCGGATTTTATTTTTCTCCATCAGCCAGTCAAAGTCCACTGCAGGCCGGCTAGCATGGACTGGAGACAATTTTATCCCCGGGGAGAGGAGAAAATGTTTATCCCCTCGCTTAGTTTTATCCACCCTTCGAGTATGGGCACACCGGTGGATATTATATCCACAGTGCACAAAATGGGAGATAGACTTAGATAGATTTTTTGTATGAATTTTATATTAAACCTACGTCTAATGAACTAGGATAAAATTGTTCTTTTCAAATATCAAAAAAGCATAATTTTTTATCTTCCATTTGGCTCTATGCTACGGATGGGGGATATACATAAGGACAAGATAATTTTATCCCTTGTCAGTGGATACATTTTTTGTCCCCAGCCCATGCTAGCCGTGCTGGATATGAGTCTCTGCCGCTGCCTACACGACTTTACTGTTTGCCGATTACGAATTTTCATAATTAAAATCTATAATAGCATCGGAATTTATTTAAGTAACTTAATATTTCTTATAAAAAAGCTTCGCCTATTCGTAATAATAATTAATTTATTAACATTTTAATAAATACAAAAAATAAATTAAAATTTTACGTATTACTTAGTAGGTTTAGTTTTATTACATTAGGTGAAATTAATATCAAATTGAATTAAATTAAATTAAATGATGATGTAATATGGAACGTTTTACTAAACGTCAGACTAGATCTAGACATATATGAAGCATTAGTTTTTAAAACGGTATTAATACTGCGAAATATCTTAATTTATTGAAATTATAAATTTTTGCTATATTTTATAACTTGAGAATTTTTCTTATCTATGTTTCAAGTCGTAAAAATTCCCGCAAAAGACACCATTAAAATGTCTTATCAACTCTTTCCTTATGCCGTATTGTCGTATGGCCGGCATTTCACTTAGCCCTGTCAGCGCAAACGTTATAATATGTCATAGGGTATGACTCATACCCTTCATTGTAATTTTTTCTAATATCGTAGGTGTCATGTAGGTGTAGTTGAATGTCGACGTTTTTTATCTGTCTGATTTTTTTAACTCCACCGGGCTGCAACACGCTATGTAGATATTTAGCTGCCTGCAGCAGAAGTTGTAATGTTTTTCGTGTGTATGTTTGTATTTGTCTGATTGTGGAATTAACATAGGCTGTACAAGTTTACTTTTTTCAATAAACTTTTTATGTAGTCGGGTTTTTTAATTGCTGTTTCTATGATTGGGCTTGTTATTATCGTTGAGTTGTAATCAGTAATAAGCTACTGACTGACCATCTCCTATTCATATTTCCCTCTTTCACCCCTTAAGTTTTTTGTAAGTAAAACCTAAATATCTATTACATGTGTATGTTTGTCATTGATGATTGCTTCCTTAACTCCGCAACACTAGTGCTTCTAGGCGGTTTTGGTAACATAGCGACGGGACATATTGAAGTGTGGGACGTGCGAGGATATAAGAAGCTTGGCGCCTGCTCGGCCCCGGACACCACCAGCCTGCAATGGGACCCGCGCGGTGAAACTTTCATCACCGCCACTACGTACCCACGACTTACTGTTGGTAATGGGTGCGTACAACTTGTTCTTCAAACGATGCTATTGTGTTACTCTGGTCAAATTGTGATATTACGTGGTAGAGCCATGCTGTAGCTATATAACTGGTATAGTTGTAGCACGAATGGGTCGGCTCGTCCGGGGTGGGACCACGCTCTCACAGAATACCAGCGTAAAATAGCAGCTTAACGCTGCTGTGTTTCGTACGGTGATTTCAGAGAACCAGAGACTTATTACTTGAAACGAGGCATTCCATCTTAGTTCTCACGGGTGACAACGCATCTGCATTTTGATTCGTAATCGAGGATGGATGTAGATGTCTATAAGCCATAGCAACCACTTACCATCAGGTGGACTGTGTGCTCGTTTGTCACCTTTATCCTTTTAAAAAAAATCGTGAATCTATCTTTTTTTAGACCTGGTATTGTGAAAATGTCCTAACTTGAAAAACACTCCAATAATAAACGAATTATTTAGCTATAGATTGAATAAATGATGAGTAACTGCTATGTAATTACCAGATTGCATTTTAGTAGCAGCAATCGTGAACTTTTAGCATTTTCCGCTTTTTTGTGCTATGACCATATCCTATGCACATTTATTCGACAATTGTCAAGTAGTTATCATATTTCATTGATATTGTGGGTGTGTAACAGATCATTATTTCTATAACAGCCTATAAAAGTCCACTGCGGGACATGGGCCTTGTTGGAAGGACTATAATAGCTACGCTTTGCAGGCGAATTGACGATCTCAGTGCCGCCGAATCTAAGCACTGGTTTTTTAAGGCGTAAAATAAATTCTACCATTAACTATGCCACATCTCCACGTTATTTCGTCTTCCAGATACAAAATATGGCATTACACTGGCGCGTTAATGCATAAGCGCGTCTGCGAAGAAAAAGAATATTTATTATCGATTAACTGGCAGCCGGGTACGTTCCCTAAGAGCGAATTGTCCAAAACGGCGCCCAAAGGAATAGAGGTGGCCCCTACTAAGCCCGCCGCCGCGTACCGACCACCCGGAGCAAGGAACAAGCCGTCTACATTCACGTTACATGAACATGAAAAGCCACATCGACCTGGACAAAATGTCAATGGTATACATAAATTTTTCTGCCTCTGACAATTTTTTTTTTATAGAATAAGGATTATTTTTTAGAGAATCAAAATGCAGATGCGTTGTCACCCCTAAGGACAAAGATGAAATGCCTTGTTTCCAGTAAAAAGGGACAAATATATTTGTGCTATTAAAGGATAGATTGCTTATAGGTACAACTAAACGCGCGTTTTTGCGAAGACATTATAATTAAATCAAATAAGAGAAGCAATTTTATATTCAGATAGGGAAGAAAAATAACAAAGTTGTGAATGTTTGTTACATAAATACATAACTTAACACTTTCATTGTCCGGTTTTCAGACACAATAGTAAGACAATGGCAATAACTTATAGGTAGTGCACGGGACAGCTAAAGGGTTAATAAAATACAATTTGACGGCTCCGTGGCGCAGTGGCTTAACAATGAGTTGTTGCGCTGGGGACCGCGGGTTCGAATCCCGCACGGAACAAGTATTTGTATGGCCTACAAATAATTGTTCCGGGACTGGATGTTTGTCCTCGTGCAGTTTATGTTTGTAAACTGCCTCCACGATACAGGAGAAAATCCTAGTGTGGGGTAACGTTTTTTAAAGAGAAAGAAAGAATGAAAGTAAATACACACATAGTTTGACTTTGGTTACTTGACCAATTACTTCATAAATTAATATTAGAGAATTTGCTCAATGAATTTGGTCTACGAATACGAATTCGAGGTGACGAGTGGTAAAATTAAAAATTTTGTACAACCGACTTCAATATAAATAAAATGAGAATTAAATACGCATTATTAAGGATAACTTGAAAACTACTCGTCAGATCTTGATCAAATTTAGTGGGACTACAGGAAAAGCACCAGCTTTCAAAAATAAAGAATCATCAAAATGGGTTCATCTAGAAAAAAGTTCTGAGGTAACACATAAAAAAAACCAGTTAAATTGATAACCTCATCCTTTTATGAGTTGGTTAAAATATTAAACTGCTTATTTTTGAAAATTCTTGTTCTTGAACGGGCTACTTATGAAATCAATATTAGAAATTGATTGCATAAGTGAGATCCTGGATGTGATTTGTGAATATAAATTGGTCGTCAGAACTGAATAAAGTGACTGCCATTTTGAAAACTTTTTAAATCCATCGATTTTAAATTATCTGACAGTCCATGTGGTCTAGTAATATGAATTCGATTTAAGCACTAAAAAAGGGGTCGGCATTTTGATATGTCTTGTTCCTGGACCGATTGTATCGATTTGACCAATTTATGTATTTAAAACGTCTTAACGATAATGATACAGGAACGAGGATCCCAAAATCCTAGTGTATTTAACTTTTAAAATGGCGAATATTTTTTTTTACATTCGTTTTCATTAACAGAAGAACCTTTAGATACAGATTTGAAATCAATATCTAAAAGTCGGTCTATAAACGATAAATTTTACAATTATGCTTTGGTTTTACACCTGACATAATGCGATGGTTACACCGCCGTCTCTAGGTGGTTAAATTTGTCATAATCGACTGTTACGACATACACGGGACGAGATGTGATAGAATCTCTTATATCTTTATAACACCGCATTATTTCATTCCATTTGTTTCTTCACTACAATCTGTATTTTCTAAGAAAATCCTATGTTTATTTAGCGGCACCATCAAAACAAGCCATCAAGCAGAAGGAGAAACGCGAGGCTCGGAAAGCACGTAAGGCAGAAGAGCGGGCCGCTGGAGACACTTCACCTTTACCGCCGTCCACATCCACCACTTCCCGAGCGCCATTCGTCTCTACAGGCGACCCTGAAAAGGATAAGAAGATCAAAAACATTAATAAAGTGAGAATCATTTTATATGTGAATAAATTAATGATTTCTTATGTTTACGCGAACACTACACATTAAATGAAACTAATTTTTTTCGGATTTTATCGCGTTCAATTTAACTTTTTTAATTCCCGACGTTTCTTTCGGGTGCCTTACAGCACCCATGGTCACAGGGGGACTGAGGTGTTTGACGTCCCGATGTCATAGTTAGCCCGGCTGGCTACCTTCAGTTTTTGAATATTAATTTATTAATTTAATTTAACATTTAATGTGAATAAATTATTATAAAAAACTATTTGTACTTAAATGACAGGACGAGCAATGGCAGTTTTTATTATTATTTTTGAGTTGTTTTTGGAAGTTGAAGGAGTTGAGTTGTTTGAGTCCTTTTCATTGTTTTTGCTTGTTTTGCTCCTGTTTAATTTCCCTTTGTCGCCTTTTATGACACATACGGGATGATAATATGAGGTAGTTGGATTCTCCAACGCTGTCACTACACAACTACTGCCTGTCAAGTTTTTTTTACAGAATAATGGTGACAACAGAGCACACAGTCCACCTGATGGTAAGTGGAGGCTGTAGCCCATAGACAGCTACATCCATCCTCGATTAAGAATCAAAATGCAGAATCGTTGTCACCCCTGAGGACTGACATGGAATGCCTCGTATCCAGTATAAAGGCTTTAGAAACACAGCAGCGTTATACTGCTGGTATGCTGTGAGAGCGTGGTCATTTCCCGGTCGAGCCGATTCATTTGTGTTAAAACTAGCATGTGTAAGGTAGTTTATTAACCTTTTATCTTGTTACAGAAATTAAACGACATCGAGAAGCTAAAGCAGCAAAAAGCAGCGGGGAAACCACTTGAACTAAATCAACTCGCAAAGATAGACAATGAACAAGCTTTGTTACAGGAATTAGCTCAACTTAGATTATGATAATATAACTCTGTTGAATTTAAAGACTGTTAGTTATTTTTCGACATATGTGAAATATTATAAAAAATACAGATATACAAATGTACCGAGTCAGGTAGACTCGGGTATTAGCTCAAGTATCTTTTAAGTATCCATGAATTCGGAAACTCGACTAAAATTTCGAGTCTTATTGCTCGAATACTGAACTGAGGGCTTAAATCGCAACTTTATTATAATATAATATATGTAGTTAAATTTTATATATAAAGTTGCCGTTTGGCGTTCGGCGACACTGTTTCTCGCCTCGCCCATCTATACCATCCAAGAAATACAGATTTTCATTAGTTTGTTGTTGTATTGATATTGACTGATTAATTATAAAATAAAGTTGTATTTTGTGACTCATTATTTTGTATTTGCTGGTGTTTCAAGAAGTGAGAAGCAGTGCGCTCAACTTCAATGAAGTACATGTAGTCCTAGAATACTAGATTCCAGTCAGTGAGTTCTGACTCGATTTTGTTTTTATAACTAGTACGAGTAAAAATATTAAATAGCTGACTCGGCACATCGCTATCTGCAATTGGTATTTAGATTTAATAAAACTTATAGCAAAAGTGACTTTAACGCAAATAATTCGATTAGTTTTAAGTAATACTGTCGTTGAACTGTTATTTATGCATTTAAATCTAAAAAAAGTAGCTTTTTTATGCTGTTTCCTTGTGACTTATTTTCGGTATGTAGTTAGGAGTTTTTTTTTTATAAATGTTATTATATATGATAATAAATTATTTAAGAAGTTAAATTTGCAACGAAAAAATATTGGTACAATATATCTTCATAATATTTATCGCCGTATCTTTCTGAAACAAATTCATTAGTTGCTATAATAAAAAATATAAATGGTAGTTATCACTGGAATTCATAGGTTAAGTAAACGGTTCCACGAAATCTTTTACCTAGACCTTTTTTTTTTATGCGGATGGAAAATCATCAAATGACGCCTTACGCTCTGGGTGGAGCGGAAGGGAGTGTCAGACTTTTACTGACTAAAAACCATCCGTGTTCCTTCAGTGCCCTTACGTTCCGGAGCCGCGGTATCTCTTTCGAACAGCCCGCAGCCCCGGCAGTACCTAGACCTTGAAAGTTGATTCTATCTTCTATGTCTTTCATAAACAATCAGGGAAGAATCCCCTACCTGTATAGAACTTCATGCAATATTGTCTATTTTTATTTAATATTTTCTATGAAATTATTTGTAAAGTCCGCGCGCTCTATCTTGGCTGGGCTGAAGTTAGTCGCGATTTTGATTCGATTTTATTTTATATTTTTTATGATTCATTGGTGTATAAATGCTACATGTCGTTTTATTTCAGTAATTATGATGATATGATTAAAAGATTTTATTAAAGAAATAAAGTTAGTAAAAAAATAATCCAATATCGCGTATTTACTATATATTCTGACTTTTTATCGTAATTTTTCATACTCCTAAGATACCTTTGTTTCATTGAAATACACATACAACAGATATTTTAATATTAAACATAATTTTCAATTTGTTATTTAATCTATACAAACATAACAAACTGTTTCTCAAATCTTAGGAGCGAAAATGAAGTGGCACATCTCTATCGACTAGCTAGTGTACATGCGCGAATGTGTCAGAGAGCCAACTTCAGCCCGGCCAAGACCCGCGAACTATATTTGTCACTTCGACGATGTTAAAATTGAAAACAAAGAACGTAGGGTAAGTATTTTTCAAAATGTATTCAGAAGATGACAATAGGGAGCGGTTGATGGAGCGGGGCGAGTTCTCGAATAATCAAGCAGCTCGATCGACGTCGACTAATCCATTCTACCACCGACCGATGCCATCGATAACTAGATTGGTGTGGTAACAAAATGTTAAAATTATACCTTGACCTTGACTAGGAATTCCACTATTAATTACACATTTTTTTTTACTAAGTTATATATATATCAGTCATTTGTTTTTTTTTTATAGAGTTTAGTTAAAATGATTTAAAAACTATTTACCGATCGAAATAGTTCAATGTAAAGTAATTGCATTTAATTGAAGTGAATTTTTACTAACTTTTTATTTCTCCTTACCAGCTTCATTTTCTTAACATTGTTTTGTAACGATTGTTGAAATATTGTTTATAAAGTAATTTTATACTTAATTGAGTTTGTAAAATAAAAATAAAACATATAAATACATATTTTATTTACCTTTTGGAGAATTTTCTTACTTTTTCGCTAAGTATATAAATTGAAAAACTTGATCATCGTTACCAGTCCATAAACAATTCATTGTTGAACATTGACCGCCCTAATAGTAGGAAGGATTTGCCATTATTGCCACGGTTAATATTGCTATTATCGGCACATTTGACTGCCAGATTGGCGATCACAACATCACACGCGAGCACTTTAGATGCGGCCAATTGTCCTAACATATATTTTGATTACAATATTGGCATTTGTTTATGTTGACTATACATGAAATTATTATTATGATTAAACATTCCTTTTATTTAGTTGTGTCTCGCCAGCAACGCAAAATCAGGAATTTGCATTTAGAAAAAGCCAAAATTAGGGGCTTTTTAGGTGCCGATTTAAAAAAAATTAGGTGTTGTAAAATTTTTACCGCTAAGCAACGCAACGCAGTACATATATAGTATAGGAGATGGGTAGCAGCATCTTCTTAATAAACTCATTACAAAACCCGCCTGCCAAGCGTGGGAACTATATAGCAAATATATTCCATATATAGGAGACAATTTATGGGGAGGCCTATATTCAGCAATGGACTTGTTCTTAGTCCTAAAAGTTTAGTCCCTATAATTGTTTTAGGCCTATTATTACCTTCTAAATTCTCTCGTAATTTATCTCACACCTAGCATGGTCATAATTGCAGCCATAGCAGAGGGAGAGGGATACTGCAGCTAGGGATGGCAAGTAAAAAAAATATCGATATTTTTAAACAGTGTTGATGTATATCGCGCGATAAAAATCGATATATCATCATGGTTTACATGATGTACTATTATGACAAGGCCCAAAATTAAATATCGATATAATGCGATTAAAAATATCTTTCGATGAAAGATATATATCGATATTTCTTACCCAAGCCTAAATGCAGCCAAACATTGGACATATTTTCACCTATGTAATACATTTATGAAAAAACAGCCTCCTTGACATTAAGATGTTTTTTTTTAATTTCAATAGCCTCACGTACCATCCTTGGTAGGAATCGATCTTCTTTCGCCAAGATTTGTGGTCTATCAAATCTAATGCAATGGCGGGGGGCCGTCTAGGATATGATTACAAACTGCAGACTTCCCGGAGCGATGGTGTTTCAAGTGAGCTATATTAAACTTGAACTTGATTGAATTAAACGCGATAAAATCTGTAAAATAGTTTTATTCAATGTGAAATGTTCGCATAAATATAAGAAATCATACTTGATTATTTATGAAGATTATTTTATAGAAAAGGGGGCAAATGAGCATGCGGCCACCTAATGGTTATTACCGTTTCCTATGAACAAATGTAACACCACGGGAAATTTAGGTGTTTAGAACATTTTAAAAAGAAGTATGTTCTTTTCTTGAAGGTTCCTAAGACGTATCTGTTTAGAAAAATAGATGGCTGGTGGTAACCACTTCCTGAAGAAGTCGCACGCGGATGAAAATTTCTAGTAAATTTCTTTCAGCACTTCCTGAGGTAAAATATGCAAAGGGATGCAGCATCACTTTGCAGCGCCAGCGTTCAAAAAGAACTCAGTCATCGACAATTCGGGCCGCTCGGTCGGGCTTTATGCGGTCAAGCGGAAGGAGTTGACCCAGAGATGAGAATAGTGCCCTTGACGGAGACTCGATCCGGATCTGCTGGGAAGGGTGATCAGCACGCTCTTCCGAGAGGACCGGTCAAATTCCTCGGGTAACCTGCCGTCGTCATGGGAGTGGCAGGATGAGATGGGGGGAAACCGGAGTGAGATCAAACGTGGAGTTCCGCAGGGATTGGTGCTGGGACCGCTACTGTGGAACCTCACCTATGATGGTGTTCTTCTACGAATCGATCATCCCGCTGTCTGCTATGCCGACGAAACATTGGTAATCACCAGCGGGATCACTTTCGAGAGGGCTAAGGAGCTCGCCCAAGACAGGGCGGAAGTCGTCGTCGCCATAATCCACGAGTTGGGATTAGAAATAGCGCCTCAAAAGACCGAGGCCCCATGGTTCCATAAATTATCACGGGGCAGGGAACCACCCGACTCGTGTGTCCGCGTGGGTGGGTCTGAAGTCAGATTGGGGAGGCACATGAAGTACCTAGGCCTCCACCTGGACAGTCGCTGGGGCTTCGAAGAACATTTTAAGCGCCTAGTCCTCCGCATCGAAAGGGTAGCGGGTGGTATACATAGATAGCTGCCCAATTTAGGGGGACCGACGGAGGAAGTACGTCGCTTCTATTCGGGAGTTATACGATGCGTAGCTCTGTATGGAGCGCCTGTATGGGCAAAAAAGCTGGCCATACGACGCTGTAGAGCCAAAATCTACAGTGTCCAGCGGAGGATGGCCATACGGATCGTACGAAGAAGATACCGCACTATATCCTTTGAGGCGACGATAATCCTGGCTTGCTTTCCAGCTTTAGACATACTGGCGGACATGGACGCGAGGGTATACGACCGGATTCGTGCCCTCCGCCAGAGCGGTGGTACTGAGCCAGAAGAGGCGCTCGAATCAATTAAACGGCAGAAACGGCAAAACGCTTTGGCGACATGACTCACTTGACTTGAGGAACGCTATGAATACAAACGTGTTATTGATGCAGGTAATCCTGCCGGATATCGAAGCCTGGATGCAGCGCCGAGTAGGAAGACTCACCTACAGACTTACACAGATAATTACAGGGCACGGGTGCTTCGGTGATTATCTGTGTAAGATCGGACGCGAGGCGACGGCGAACTGCTTCCACTGCGGTGGATAGGACCAGGACTCCGCGTCCCA